GAAAACATAACAAATTCGTATATTCAATAATTTGCGAGTAACGATTTTTTACCAAATAAGTTGGCATGTTATGTTACACGTAACATGCAAGTATTTAGGTAAAATGTTTGAGAAAAAGAACAAAAAAAGTAGTGGTACTATTATAGTAGTTAATATTTACGTAATTTGACATTTCGCTACAGTTTGAAGATGTCGGATACAGTATTAAGCTGCAAACACCAAAGGGAGGCTGTGTTGCTTCACATGAGGCAACACCAACACGCACTGTACTCAACGGAGTGAGTGGAATCGTTCGACCCGGTGAGCTACTCGCAATGTTGGGGCCATCCGGCAGCGGCAAGACCACTCTCTTGACCGCCCTGGGTGGCCGCTTGCCGAATAAAATCTCCGGCAAGATAACATACAATGGCCAAAATTTCTCAAGCTCCATGAAGCACAACACCGGCTTCGTGACGCAAGATGACGTCTTGTACCCTCACCTCACTGTTCTTGAGACCCTAACCTACACAGCCTTGCTAAGGCTGCCCAAGCAGCTCACGAAGGAAGAGAAAATAGAGCAAGCTGAGACGGTGATAATGGAGCTCGGGTTGAACCGGTGCCGTGATAGTATAATTGGTGGGCCTTTACTACGTGGCGTTTCAGGTGGTGAGCGAAAACGGGTCAGTATCGGGCAGGAGATGCTTGTCAACCCGAGCCTTTTGCTTTTGGATGAGCCCACTTCTGGGCTCGACTCCACCACAGCCCAGCGTATCATTGTCACTTTGCGGCAGTTGGCCCGTGGTGGGCGGACGGTGATCACCACCATCCATCAGCCGTCAAGCAGGCTGTATAGGATGTTTGATAAAGTGGTGGTGTTGTCGGACGGGTGCCCAATTTATAGCGGACATGCAGGTCGGGTCATGGATTATTTTGGGTCCATTGGATACGAGGCCGGGTTCAATTTCATCAACCCGGCTGATTTTATGCTTGATCTTGCTAACGGTACGAAATTTATTCTCTCATTATTAGCTTTGGTTTTTAGTTTCTAATATCACTATTTTAATTCTCTAGCAATTTTTAATTTCATTTGATAAACATGCATTTTTAATTATCTAAGAAAATTAGAGAATTTGACGTGTTATCAAAACAAAATTTTACTTTACGAATAGTAAATTTGATTGACGACATTTAATCGACATACCAGACGGTGAGAACAAAACATCACTCACCTTTAAAGATGTTCCTAATTTAGTACCTACTAGTCTTAGTACATGTCAACCTCACGACTCACCCACAAGTCACAAACTAAACATGATTATGCAAGTTTGTGGAGCTTTTAGCACTTAATCGTTCGGGTAAGAATCCATTTTTTTCACAACAATATTAGTGCGTTGAGTTAGTGGTCCACAAAGAAAAAGGCTTCATAGCACTGACGGCCCCGTGAATAGAATAGAAGGCAAAGGCAGACCACATCCCTTTTAGTCGATCGCACTTTGAAAGCCGAGAAAAATTGAAGGGAATCTCTCAACTCACCACTCATTCTCAGAGAAGGAGGGGGCTCAAATGGACATATGGACTTAGTTGCCAACCCTAAAGCCTAAGACCAAAATTAGGTTTCATACTTTTTAATCCCATCAAACACCAAAGACAATGCTACAACCTTAAGGCATAGAGAAGTACTTGCATGACAAGATATCCCCGGCCACGTGAAGTCTTCTGCCAATAATATAAGGATATGTGGTCATTGTTTTATTGGCAAGAAGTATGACCGTCACAGTAAACTTGTACCATACAAGTTGTTATCCTATGCATGAACAAACTTGTACAATCTGATTTGACCCTCATCCGAAAATTTTTGTTTTGCATCCTTTTCTTTTAATTCTAACAAATTAGTTACCACCTGAAATTGATGGGACGGTGGACTAATTACCATGGGTATTGGGTTGTGGATGAGGAAGAGAACTTACAAGCAACTTGAACTTCAAAGATATAGTGTTATCCCAAACCAATTACATTGACGTTCAAGTTGCATGTGAGTTTGATGAGACAAAATGAAACACAAAATGGACTTTATATCACCACTAACCATCAAGAAATATAAACATAGTGGGGTATACATTGTTTTCTTTGTCTGAAATTTAATTCTTTTTTCTAGGATGATTGGCATTAATAATTGTACTATGTTTCAGGTACCACAATTTTGACCATTTTAATTAAAATTTTCTTGGATTTTTTTTTACAAGCAGGTATACCACCTGATGCTAAACAAGATGAGCAAGTAGAGTATAGTGGCAGATTAGACCACCAAGAAGAGCAAAACACAACCAAGCAGTTCTTAATATCTTCCTATAAAATGAATCTATACCCTGCATTGAAGATAGAGATTCAGCAAACTCAGAAAGACACAGTTGTTTCTTCTTCAAGAACACCATCATCCAGAGGTAACTTTCAATAGAACAGTAACTCTCTCTAGCTAGGTGCTAAATCACTCTTTGATTTGAACTGTTTTTTAACTGGATTTTCAGCTGGAAATTCATTTGTGCTATGTATGTTATGTAGGTAGAGTAAATTATCAATGGACCACCAGCTGGTGGGAGGAATTTAGGGTTTTGCTGGAAAGGGGTTTAAAAGAGAGGAAGCATGAATCTTTCTCAGGCTTAAAGATTTTCCAAGTCACGTCAGTTTCAATTCTTTCCGGTCTTTTATGGTGGCATTCTGACATTTCACATATACAAGATCAGGTACTCTAATTTCCTCTCATCTCTGCTCGTATGGTAATAAATTCGTTTTCAGTTTTCAGTAACTAGTTTTCATTTTTTATTTCCTTTAAAATGAAATCTGATTTCAAAACCAGGCTAGTTTTGGACTTATATTAAAAAGCAATACTAATCAAGTAGCTTGAACAGGTGGGACTTCTTTTCTTCTTCTCCATATTTTGGGGTTTCTTCCCTCTATCCAACGCCATATTTTCATTCCCTATGGAAAGACCAATGCTGATAAAAGAACGTTCCTCGGGCATGTACCGTCTCTCATCCTATTACTTTGCGCGAACTGTCGGTGATTTGCCAATGGAGCTTGTGCTCCCAACAGTCTTTATAACGATAAGCTATTGGATGGGGGGTCTCAAGCCTTCACTGGTCACATTTGCACTAACCCTCTTCGTTGTTCTTTACAATGTGCTAGTCTCTCAAGGCCTAGGGCTAGCACTAGGAGCCATTCTAATGAATGTGAAGCAAGGCACAACTCTGGCTTCTGTGACAATGCTGGTGTTTTTACTTGTCGGTGGATATTACATTCAGCACATTCCGCCCTTCATAGCTTGGTTGAAGTACGCTTCCTTCAGCCACTACTGCTACAAGCTTCTCGTGGGAGTGCAGTACTCGGCACATGAGGTTTATGAGTGTGAGATGGGGATGCATTGTAGGGTGATTGACTTTCCTGGTATTAAGTGTGTAGGTCTTGATAATATGTGGATAGATGTGGCTGCATTGGCTGTGATGATGGTGGGATATAGGTTTTTGGCTTATGTGGCATTGAGGATGGGGCAACCTCACTGACTTCCTTGAATCTTGACGATGATAGATCAGAAACTGACATGCAGCGTTGCAGCTAGAGAATTTGATGACGTACGTTCGGATCTCCAATTCTATCGAATAATTGAAGGTTTTGAATTGATATTGTGAACCAAGACTTCATGCATGCTGGATGGAGAAATTGTAATTAATTGTATTCCTTCACAGGGAAATTGATATGATGTTAATGTTATTAATTGTTAGGTTTTTTTATAAAAAAAAATTGAAATTAAATTTGCTGATAATATGCCTCATTCCATTAGAATGTGAAACAACGGAACTGTTAAATAACTAGAGAGAATTTCAGTATGTGACAGTGACATGTCTTTGTAAAATTTTCAGTCAAAACTATCCGTCTCTTCTTAATTTCCTAACTCCCATGCCCTTGCCCTCAATGTTATTGCCAAAGTTCTAACTTATGATCCTAATCCATGCTCAAAAATAGCAAAGGGTGAAAATTTGAAAATGTGAATAAATTAGACGATTTACTAGTAAAGATCCATCAAATGAAGCTGGTGAGATAAAAAAACAAAGGTATGAAAGGGTCCGAATCAAAACTTTCTCAACCCCACAAATATACGTCTTCATTATCCGGAGCTCGGTTGCTAAAACTTGCAGGCTGTATACCAGTTTTTCTGGGGGCTGCAACATGGATTTACTTGAACCGGCTTGGACTTGTTTTGGTGAAGTAACCAAGCAAATCATGTTTTAGCAACTGATCAAATTTCAGAAGTAGTTACCTAAATGCAACAGACAGTTCTGCAGTGCTGCAAATGGTGTTCTGGTAAAACGTTGCATTTCCTGAGCTGGCTGGCTTTTACTTGCTTTAATACAGTAAAAAGTTCTGCAATATTTTCTTCAATGCTGAAAAATTGAAATTGTAAGTTGATTATCAAAGTACGCAATGAACTAACTGAATCTATTAAACAAGAAATACGGAATTGCCAAGAAGGCTACATGAGTTAAAGAGGTTACATCTTGACTAAGTTGTTTCCATAGAGTTACAAAGTATATATGGAAAATTAACCTAATCCTAATAAGCAAGGAAGCGAAACCATTATACTAATGGGTTAGGCCCAAAAAACCAAACATTAAAATAAACCTAAATACTATATAATATTTTACAACACACAATTATTGGATTGCAATTTATATCAAAATTTCAAATGAGACGCAATCATGCATGCAAAGGGGTGCTAAAACGCTATAATCGGATGTTTTAGGGGAAAATTTAGTGCAGCATTTGGAATAATAAGAAAATCTGTTAGGCCACATGCATGGATTGATGCCTACATGATTTCTTTACAGAAAGTGGATGTACTTCTCAGTAGGTTTAAGCAAACCGAAATCAACTAGCTAACGATGTGCGCACTCGAATACGTATCCAATGATGTCATTTTAGATATGTCTCGATTAAGCATCCGATTCAGCACCATCTCCCAACAGGCCACCAGTCCATTTTTATTCCCTTTGCTCATGTGTTCACATCTCTGTACACCTTATATCTGCTTCTGTAGGATTCTAATTCCGTGTTACAATTACGAACTTCAACTATAAATTGGTTGAATCGTAGTAGAGCCAACACTTGAGTCCAGACGGGAAGCAAATACTTTATAAGATTAACAAAATCGAAATGGCATCACTCAAGGTCGAGAAACCTGTTGGCACTCAACCCTCTGCCGGGCAGGCCAAGAAAGAGCCTGCACCGAAAGCTAGTGGTTCCACGCCCAAAGCTCCGGCCTCCAAACCTGCCCCTAAGAAGGCTGAGACAAAGCCTAGGGAAACTAGGAAGAAGGTAAGCATGCCTAAATACACCCATACAATTTCATACTTATGCGGCAGTAAAATATGTGCTTATTAAAATCTTAATTTTTTTGTGACGGATTTATCAGACAACAGGAAGCAAGCCTGCAGCCAAGAATTAGACTAAAGCAACGGCGTGAGGCGAGGAGTGCATGAAGATTCTAAATCACTGTGGTCTTCCATAGTTCATATATTCTGATAATACTATGTATCTCCTTTTAGGCTTGGCCTAATAAATAAAAGATACCGTTATTTTAGAGGAACTTTTGCTTGGTATTTGCTTAAACTAGTAAGAAATATTAATTTGTAAACACATGAGGCCTTCAGAAAGGCGTTCGTAAATCTGAATCATGGATTACACAACAAGAGTGCAAGAATTTGAAGATTCTGAGAAAGTTCAAGTGTTTAATCATATGAAAAATAATCGATAGGTTCTGTGTATGTGCACGTTTTCACCATCCGGAACCTCCATAGAGAACCTGTCGTTTCCTTTCTAATATTACAGTGTTTTAAGTTAATTTAAACAACTTTGACCACAAAAAGGAGGAAAGGAAAACATATCAAGAACTCAAGTTTCTTGGTAAATAAGGTTTGATAATGTTATAAAAAAAATGATAATTCATAAGAAAAATGCTCATGTTGAAAGCAAAACATTAAACCTTGATCTATTATGAAATAACGCTAAACCTGAACCGAAAAAAGAAATAATGCTAAAGAGAGAATCTGATAAAAGTGAAATAGATAGAAGACTTATAAGATTATGGGGCGTTAAATTTGCGAACTTGATGCATCAGATGATCAGACAATACGAGAGACTGCAAATTGCAATGCTCTATAAGTTGTACTGCAAACATGCAACCAAGCTGGATTGTTCCGTTTCTAGTTGGCTAAAGATCATCTGCGCACATACCGGCCTGTTCTCTGATAAAATCAAATACATATATGCAACCCCATAAGTTACAAGATCAATGCAAAAAAAAAAAAAAAAAAAAACAGGAAAGAAGAATAACAAGGACCTTCTTCATTCATAGCCAGTTAAGAGTCAAAGAAGAAAGACATAACTAACACCATTTCAGAAGGACTTAACTAACTCCATTTCTACAAATCATACAAAATGATCTTTTCTCATGAAAAATGAACTTAAGATAGTTTAAAAATAAGCATGTATCTCAGCTCGGCCCTTACAGAATATCGGATGATACTGTCACCATCGCCCACATTTACAATTTAAAACTTAGGCGTAGCCAAGTTGGCTAGGACAGTGTGCCCCCTTTGCACCCACAATTCGAATTCCCTTCCTCATCCTTCAGATTAGATTAAAATATTGCCGAATAATGTATATTACTCTTTCGACATGGTTGTACATATAATGTCACATTCACAGACATGCACAGACAGCAGTACAGAGCAAAACCCACATCAGTTTTTCTATTTTGCCGGTGGATGTGATTTTTGAGCCCGAAGACTGGTCTTCAACATTTGGTTATCTGAATGTTCGGATATTTAAGTGCACATAATTTCATAGTCTCATGGATCGCACTAGGAGCAATGGAACGCGGTAGTTTTCGTGATTTTCTAGCGTATTTTTCACTCCCAAATCCACTTCCATTGTATAATGAAATTGTTAGGATAAAATTGGCTATTCCTAAACAAAACGTCTGAGTATGTAATCTTAGACTAGTGTTTGTTTTCAGTTGTAATTGATTTAGTCTAAGTTTGTGTCACGTGCTCTCGATCACAAAATGGCAAGCGTTTTCAAAGACATCCACTCAGGTAAATTTGGCATGCATATTCATATAGTCTAAGTTTGCATTCAATGGGCCATTAAATTTGGCATGCATATTCATAAAGAAAAATTTAGTTTTGTTCATTGGTTTTTCATTGTGCTTCAATTGAAATCAATTATGAAAATGTGCCTTGTGATTTTCATAACTGGTTGATTTTCAAAATCATTTCATTTCATACATTCTGCATGATCGCGTTAGTATCTGCAAAGTTCGAGGAGAAGATGATTGACGGCCGCGTTAGCGTCGTGCTATTTTCACTTGAATGCTGAGAAGATATCGAGTAGCAAAGCGCGGAGACAAAACTGTCTACTAGTATGTGTGTCTAGTTGATGAGTTTTGTAAGTCTTTCTGTACTCATTTCTCTTAGTGTTTGTCCTGGTTTGGGAGCCCGAGGATTTTCCCAGTGGTGGATTTTGCCTCGTTAAATCCTACATCATGTGTGCACTTTTTATTTATCGTTTTAATTTCATATGAGTATGATAGTTTGATATGTGATATGAATGTGGATTTAATTTGAGAACTGAAAATTAAATTGAAAATTGAATTGGATTTTTAAATTGGAACCTATTCACCCCCTCTAGGTTAAACTAGTACCCATCCTAGAACTTTCAGAAATTCCAGAAGACCCCAAAAGTCTAAGAATCACAAACTTATTTCCGAAAAGAAGCGTATAATTATGTTCGTGATCGCATGTTATTCGTTTAAAACGTCATTCACCCATTTGGCGAAATTTGATGTCTCTCATAATTTCAGTATATATAATCAAGCAATAAGTAAGCAAAAGCATCTGATGCCAACACAGCCTTCAAGTGCCAGCTCTCAGCCATTTTTTCCAGTACCAGTTATTCCATTCTTTTAAAAACACCACTATCCCTTCGCCACCTTGTATCATAACTTGTTATTCTAATTCCTTTTTTACGGTGGTGAACCGCAGTTATAAAAAGGGGAGGTTCAGAAGCAGCCTATAGTCATAATCGCGCAATAAATTTTTCGTATCTTTGAGAAACCAGAATTTAGAGAAGTATGGCATCCATGAAGGCTAAAGTGCAACTCGGCAGCCAACTGTCCGGACAGGGCAAGAAAGAACCTGCAGTTGCCAAGGCTGGTGATGGCGGAGCCAAAGCACCGGTATCTAAGGCCGCCCCAAAGAAAGCTGCAGCCGCACCGAAGGCTCCCGCACCCAAGAAGGTATATACACAAGTTATCAGTTATTTTCACAAACACCGTGGCTTCATATTCTCGCATTTCAGTCACCTCCTTGCCTCGTTAATTTGGTTTCACTAACTGATGACTGATGATAACTGACAGGGTAAAGACGGCAAAGCTGCAGCAAAGAAGTGACCAAAGCATACAGAAAAAGGGAACGATTTCTTTTCGTTTTCTCATGGTAACTTTGATCTAATCCATGTAAAGCCATCCCAATGAAATAAAAACTCACGTTTAGCTATAGACTACTGGTCTTGTCTATAAACTATTTCACTTCAAATCACAAAATATGATTTGCTAATTAATACTTTGGTATGAACAATAACAAGGGCAAGAAAATATTTGATGTGAGACATGAGAATAGGGTAAACTTTAAGGTTGCACAAAAAATAAGGGGTAAAAACTTCACCTGTCATTAACGATTATGTACAAAATGGATACAGTCGATCACAAAGAAACTCAAGGGAGAGTTGATAAATGAGACAAAAATTGGCTAGAATGGGCTGACACGGTGAGCCAACTTCAACATGCACTCAGGTACAAGGCGCCTTCTTGGAGGAGCCACTGCATCTTTGGCAAGAGCCTCTGAATCACCTTCATGAATGATAGCTACTAAATCTTCAAACATATCGTCTCTACCACCACGCATTGGATCCTGGATAAACACATCCACCGAATATGTTTAATATACGAGACTCTTCTCTTTTTTAGTGTGTTTTTTCCTTCTTGGGGAGAGGGTTTTACGGAACAGGCAAATCAGAAAAGAAGTGTCTTTAATGCTCCCTTACCTGAAGAAACAAATCCGTGTGAGTCTTCCCTTCATAAAGAATCGATCTAGCTGTCACTCCAAGTCTCTGAAGAGTTTCTGCAAAACTCTTGCTGCACAGAGAACATGGTTGTCAAAGCCTGTGAGCATAGGAACCATATTCTGAATAGTATGTTTTCCATTCTAATATACTATTAAGCGATATTAAACTTAAATACTGAACTATAAGAATTTAATTCTGAAGAGCCAGCTATACAGATTCGCACTATTTCTATTGGAATCAAATAATTCATTTCAGGGGAAATGTATACCTGGCATCTGATGGTATTGAGTAATCTGCAGTACCATGAAATAAAATAATAGGAGGTAGGAGAGAAACAGCATTTCTAACGTTTGGGTCCTGAATCATGAGTTCTGGAGAGAAACGTTGCAATGATTGTTCTCCTTCCATTATGCTGTGAGAGGTTTTGGAGTCATAAAAATTTAATGCAATTCGGGATAAAAATATGAAACTACAAGAGTATATATGTATGATCAACTTCCTCGGAGAGCAAGAAGGTCCTTACCCTAAAAAGATTGAACGGTATAGACCTCTGTGGTGGAAGTGATCCACTAAGTTAAGCAAATTGTATCTGTTTGAGCATGTCAGAATGAGAAGACTAAGTGAACACAGAAACATCACAACCAACAAAAATACATAAAAGAGAACAGCAGGTGAATTCAGCAAAATCGGATCGTGGATAATGCCTCTCACATTGATAACTTAAAATCAATAATTATTCATTTTAATCAAAACATTTGTCACCTATAACTTTAATAACTATAATCATCTTAGACTGTCATTACCCTCCAGACAGACCAAAGTAAGCCTTTATCTGGGAGACACTCCAAGAAGAGCTCTCTCCTTCGCCCGCCTCCTTAATTGCCTGGTCAATGAGGGTGCAGGCACCAATATGTGCACCAGCAGACTGTCCCATCAGATAAACCCTGCACAAACATAGCATTAGCTACTAGAATTGCCTCCACGACAGAAAAAATGATACAAAAATAAGAACATATTTTATTACCTATTCGGGTCGCCTCCATAATCAGCAATATGATTGCACACAAATGAGATGCCTTGAGAAGCATCCTTTACCATGTCACTGATAGTACCCTGAGGGAAATTTCTGCATGAAGATGCCATGTCAACTAGTTTTTTACCGAGACGCTCAAATCTCCATATATTTAGAAAGGAACTTCAGCAGAACAGAGTTTCATTTAGACACATGATATCAGTTATTTGTAGTATGTGTGCTTGCTTGAAGTTTATATTCACCTATAATCTATACACGCCACTATGATGTCTCTTTCTGATAACTGTTGTCCCAAAAGAGAACCCCATGCTTTGTAACTGCATTAGCAAAAACGTGTTAAGAATAGATAAGCAGTAATCTATTGTGAAAAGAAGGCAACTAAGACCATATTTGAACAAACAAACAAAAAATATGACATTGAATCTACAATTCAGGCATAAGGAACAACAGAACTCAGAAAAGTAAACTCTCAGCTCCACTGCTTCAGATTGACATTCCGAAAACCAACAGAAATGTAAACTGCCAAGGAGCAACATCACTCACCCAATAATCCAGGCTCCACCAGTTACAAATGCAATGACTGGCTTCGGCCCATCACTATTTTTGGGTAGATACAGATCTAGCCTGCAGAACAAAACTTCAGGCATTAATGCTGCAACACAAATGAATATTGTCCCAAAAACATACAAAAAACTTTATGATATTCGTATCCTACCTATTTCTTGGTTGATCACCATAAACTATACCTCTGCGAACCTGACGGGAGAAGAAATAATAATAGCCAACTTCAAAAAGAAGGGTGGGTTAGTCATGCTTCCCTGAGTCCTCTATGTCACGGTCATGATAATGCCTACAAATTTAATGTACGAAACGGACCCTAAAAAACATGTACAATGTCTAAAAGGTGTGCAAGAGGTCAAGCATATATGTACGAAAGTAACAAACCTTGAATAAAACCTGGCATAAGTAAAAATGAATAGCAACCAAGGGCAAGAAATCTTGTAATCCATCTGTAGCCTACCCTGAATAAAAATATACGATCAGGAAGCATCCAACCACACGGATAAGTTTTATAAAGAATATCGAAGAAACAGTACAATACATATATATAGTTGAAATTCCAAATACCATGTAACACAACAAATCGTCTTTCGTTCTACAAAATACAAAACAGAAGTGACTTCTGAAACCAAATCTTCTCTCTTTCTAATGTGAAATGTTTAGGACGAAATTTTTTATAGGTTGTCCCATTTAAGTATTTCCAAGTTTCCAACCAGTTTACACTCTTTCCATTTTGCACGATTTAGGTTGTCTCTTTGTTACAACCTTATCAACGTTCTTCCAACACTCATTAGTGTTGTTCTTATGTGAGCGTAATCGTTAGACGGTCGAGTTTCCCTAGTTACATGAACGTAAAAAGACTATCTGATGTCCCAATTTTCCAATCAATAATTCCAGTATTAGTTTTCATCTAAATTTCCCCCAAAATATAATTCCTTAATTAAAATTTTATCTTCTGAAGATTTTCATCTCAACCCAACACCTTTAATCCAATTTCATGGGAGATCCACCTTTAATCCAATTTTCCAATCAATAATTCCAGTATTAGTTTACCAGGTCACTTCAAAAGACACCATTTTTACAGCTCTAACTAATTTGGGACTAAAATTTAAGTCCCTTGAATTCCAATCCAAATGACAATATGGGTACTCAAAAACATCCAAAAACAGTTAAATCATCAAATCCAAACACAAGAAAGCGGAGAAATTTTGAATACCCAAGATATTTTAACAGCTTCAAACTCAACCGGGTGACCAAGAACGTCTCGGCAGCAGCGTGCTGCACATCGCCGGCCAAGGTGTGGCGGCTGCCCTCATCGGAGTGGGAAGAAAGGGAGCTGTCGCTGGCGCTCCGGCGCCGCCGCTGCTGGTGATTGTTGGGAGCGGCAGCGGAAGTGTTGGTGTAGCTGGAGACCCTGGGGAGGAGTGGGTTCACAGGCGTGTTCTTTTCTTCATCCTCGAAATTCGAGCACAACAGAAGCCGGGTTGACGGGTCGTCCTGTGCTTCTTTGAGTAGCGATTTCTGTGGAGGAGGGTGATACGTTATGGGCAGAATCTGTTGGGATGGCATTTTCTAGAGAGAGAAATTGTTTCTAGAGAGAGAATATATGGCAGCAAATATTGATGAGCTATGTGAATAACCGTAACAACTGACTGTTTGCTTTTCTGGGTTTTAATTGGGAAGTGTGGAAATCTGGGGAATTGTCGGATATGGAGATCCAAGAGGAAATGGGAGAGAAGTGTTAAAATCTGCAGAGTCTTCAGTCGGTTGGTACGCAGAAGCAAACCAGAGGGGAGAGAGGGAGCAAGTTGGGGTTGTGCAGGCCAGTTGTGTGTTGCCACGTGGGTTGCTGTTATATTCTGAATAGCAACTAAGAAAAGAGATCTTCTTCGGATTTATTTATGCAGCCGACGTCCACGAATTTATGCAGCCGACGTCCACGATCAAATAATCTGGGATTTTTTTATATCAAATAACAACTAGAATGATATTTACTAATCGGGTTGCAGATGACATTTTGTTGTAATGGCGGAAAATCATACTTATGTATTCTAATGTAAATTCGATTTTCACTAATCCACCTTCCTAAAAGACCAATAATTTAATTCTCTATCGCTATCATTTATAAAAATATATTTATTTAGTCATATAGTGGTTTCTCACTTTCAATTGGATAATTACCCTGTTTAATTGGGCTGGTCTAAGTGATGGGCTTTGTCTTCATTGTCTCTAATAGTAATATATCTTGTGAAGGTTCATGGGTCTGGAATTGCAGACCAGATGTTTGTTTGTGGACCCGAATGAGTTGAAGCGTTTTTAGACTCATCTTAATTCATTTATCATATTTTCTCATCGTGCCGCAGCGATGTTGGCACGCCCCTTTTACCCATTAATTTGCATTCGTCATTGAATATCTAAGTAAATTTTCTCCAAAATCACAGAAGAAGTGTTGCAGGAAATGTAGAAAGCTAAACGATGAGTCCCGGATGTCAACCAGCCAAATAGCATGTCATATTATTGCACACAAATCCTAAGGCCTCGTTTATTATTCAGTACTACTCAAACTAGACTAACTTCAGAAACTAAGCTTGAGTGGATTGTCGTGAACTCATTAGAATTAGATTAATGAAGCGTTTGGTTGCCAAATATATCAACCTTGTCCTGAATGGAAATTGTTGGCCTTTTGAGGCCCTTGAGCTTGAGTGCAAGCAAACTCGATGTAGGGTTTTCACTTTTTACCTTTCGTTTTCATATCTTTAAATATTTTAATTTGACTCCAACTAACCTCAAACAATGTTCAAATCCTAAATTGAAATTGAAAAAAAAAAAACGCCTAAGCTCTCTTGTAGATGCTTAGGCGCTAAGTTATTACTCGCTGCCTGATTAGCGTTTAACGTACTCTTTTTAGAACCTTGATCTCAAACATGCATACTCTTAAGCCAGAAAGAAGATTAGTTGACCACTGGTTTTTCTTTGATTGAAAAATGATAACCATCTTCAATCCTCCCTTAATCATGTTAAATTTTTCCCAAGAGAGAAAAAAAGTGATGGAAGTGCTAGTAGTTCAACCGAGGACAAGATACCATTCAGGATGTGATCAAATTTGGATTTTCTAATCGATATTTAATTAGTCCAGTGGATGCTTAGTCTGTGTACCACTAATTATGTTGATTAAATTAGGATTTTATTGGTGCGTATATGTTCTGGTTCTTTCTTGTTAGCCGCATAGAGGTTCATGCATCCTAAGTAACTAATCTTGATGCTGGGCCCTTTCGATAATGGGCACGTCGAATTTGATTAGGCACGTAATTGATCACAGAAATTAAGCCATTGCTCCTGTCAACACCATTTTCGCAGTGTACTTTAAATATGGCCACGTGAAATTAATATTTTACTCTAATTATAACTTGTGGCCTTTCTTTTGTTAATGTATCTTAGAAGTGGAAGTTGTTAGGGAATTACATGGTGGTAAGTAAGAGGTTGAAAATATTTCTGTGAGTCATTCCGGCCCCTGAAATGATGGACATGAACTGCCATTGTAAAGCCACTAGATGATTCTTTTTTTTGAAAAAAAAAAGCATGTTATCCATCCTTATTATAACACATTTGAATGTTACATCACACGTTCGCCGTTCTTATAAAAAATTATTTCTCATGTAAGTGGGATTTTCCCATCACATATAAGTATATCTATTAATTGCACGTGGACATAAACGTTAATTATATATATCTCTCAAATTACTAAGTTAGTATGGAGACATAAAGGGCCAAAGAGATTAGACTTTAGTTGATCAGATCATGATTAATTAAGCTGAACCATATACCAAACTGCAACTACTAATTAAAATGCAAAATGTGGCAGTACTACAAGTTAATATTTCGATTGTGCAGATCCATTTGTCTGATGAACCGTGCACGTAGAAAAAATTAAAGGGTGCATGCGCATGCAAATATCCGTAAGAAAACGAAATTATAATACGGGCGCTTATCCAAATTCCAGTGGTGGCAGAACTAATAGATGGAAATTGACCAAACTATAAAGTTTAGAAAAAGCACATGACCATAAAAAAAATGTTTAGAAGCGTGATTTAAGTTTTTAGGTTCATTAACTAAACTAATATATGTACTTAAATATATATTATGAGTAGTGGCGGAGTCAACATAAAGTTATTGGCTGTTCATGATCCCAATAATTTTATAACCATAATATATTTAATATAATATTTGTTTACGGTTCATATACAAAACTTCGACAAATTGAAAGAAAAAAAGAGTCAAAAACAATAAATTACAACCTGCAACTTCTTTTGTGCAACCTTATGCATAGTTATTTAGCTTTTCTTCTTTCTTTCTTTTGTCTCTCTTCTACTATTTCTTGTGTGCAACCCTATGATCTGCCATAACTGTTAGATAAAATGCTTCACTTGACAGGCCTTGGCAAAAATTGACATAACGTGGCATAACTCGCCAGGTACCCACAAAATGCTCGACGAAATGATCCAATGCAATTTTTGTTTGGCCGAAATTATAATCTCATTGTTATAAAATTCTGGCTTTGCCATTGATTATGAGTCAGATGTCCAAAAGAAAAAAACCCAATCATAAAAAATTGATTTACAGAAGAAAAAAAAAACTTAGGAACTCCAATATTAATGTACATTCACCAAACAAGCTAATAAAATGAAAATTGATATACTATTGGATTGAATGGAAGAGAATACAATGAGCTTTGCGTGACATATATAACCCTAATTAATCCCCTACCCTTTCGTACCAGATAGCTTTGTTCATCTCAACCCAAGTAGCCGGAAGCTTCTAATTCCTAATTATTTGATATTTAATTCTCTTAGGGAGAGCTTTACTTCAGAATAAGGGACCATATATATTTAATAGTCATACATATCACATATGCATTTTCTTGAAAAAGAAGCATTAGTATGCATTTTCTTGAAAAAGAAGCATTAGTCATATATACTCCCTTATTGAAGAAGCCGTCTCTTATCTGGTACTCGATCTATGCAGCCACTCATAATATCCATGTCGTCGAATTATACTAGGTATAAAAAAGTATAAACTGCCTATGGGGTCGAAATTAAATATAACGCACGATTAATTTCCTGCTTTCAGAATATTATTATGATGGCTGGAAGGAATTGACATGCGTAGTGTAGCATATTTTAAATAATATTCATGAAACTGTACATGGAAACATAATTCATGTGAAATTTCTAGTTTTTACCATTTATCTGCCCTGTTAAATTTGTCTCACTTTTTTTTTTTTTTTTTTTTTTTTTTTGCTTCTAATTTTGTGATGTTGCTCAATTTGTTTTGCAGGTTTAGACCTTTATGTTCAGCTTTAGAGGGGTTAGGTTTCATGTCCCTCCCCCCTCACTATTTCCTTGTATCTTTCGTTTTTAGAGGGGTAAGGTTTATGTCCCCCTTTATTTTTCGTGTATTTTTTTTCCCTTGTAATATGAGGAGTTAGGTTTATAACCCTAATTATGTGTAACTTATATTTCATTATAAAAAAATTAAAAAAAACCAAAACAAAATTCTCTTATACCATCGAAGTTTTCTTAAAAAAATGAGCAACAATGTTAATCTTCATATATTATGCTTTCAGGCCAAAGTAAAAATCTTAAATCTTCATGAAAATCTTAAAAATGATTCTGATTCTCAGACCCATATTGTTAAATCTTAGGACATGTACTGATTATTGTTATTTTCTTTTCCTGTCTCCTGATTCTCTTCATATTTTGCATTTGAAATTTTTGTTGACAAGACACATACCGGCCGCGAATTCGAAGATACGCGATTCTGCAGGATGAAGAAAAAATGGAAGGAATTAAAACCAGCTGCTTCCCAATATAGCTGTCTTAAAATGATACTTAAAGCAATTAAAAATTCAGTCACTTCAATCTTTATATTACCATAAGCCTATTCTTTTTACAATATAAGCTGAGAAGGGAGATTCTAAAACATGGTATCGGATGCAGAGGTAAATAGTCTTAACAATTTGAGCAATACAATGATCTGTAGCACTTCCGATTAAACTTGGGCAACATATAATACTAATCCATCGGGTTGGTATAGTGAAAGAATCGGATTGACCATTTCCATTATTGTATTACACCTTCCTTTCCAACACTCTTGAAGATGGAGTAGTCTCCCTCCCCTTCTATTTGAACAGTTATGGTTAGGTCACGTCAATATTTTGTGTTAATTTTTTAATAGCCAGAAGAAAACAAAAGGCAATATGTGAGAGGAGGGAAGAGAATAGAGGGGAGAGAATCCTATTCCCTTGAAGATAATGATCCTGAACAAGAATCTGAGAATGTAATCCAAGTCAGTTTATAAGCAATCATAAACTATTAAGCTTAATTAATTAACTAGGGCTGTAACTGTACTTAATATTGGATTTGATCCTTAATATGCTGGATTAATTTCGTTAAAAACCCGACATATGGTACCGGCAGACGTCACTTGTTCAGTTACACTTCACACATACATCTATTTCAAAATTTTCAAACTTTTCCTTGTACCTAGAAAAACTAGAGAGAATTTAAATGGTTGGTTTATCACTTAGCACGTTTAAGAGAATCAAAATCTGCTACCTCTCATTTCAAAGCTAAGGGATGACAATGCATATGTAATATGCAAAGTAATGCATATGTAGGGTTCAAAGTAGAGCATATACTAGCAACAACAAAATAAAAATCCATTATTTAAATTAAAATATTAGCAAAAATCCATGGTGGATATGGTTTACTGTTGTACAATCATACCCCCTTCAAAGCCGATAAATTTATCAATTTGTCGGAAACAAGATTCGGTATACTGAGTGTAATAATGAAATTGGTTGGAAACTTGAAACAAATTTTTTTCAACCAATTATATTACCACACCAAGTATACCGGATTGTGTTCCTGACACACTGAAAATTCTCTCCTCAAACTCAAGGCCAAAGTATAGAATCAATGTTATTATTAGTACTCATTGAAAAATATGCTCTCACTGAATTAAAAAACAACTGTGCTGTTTGAAGAGATAATGAAGGGATGGGATGGCTCGCTGAGGAAATTATTGTTTTACTAAATCAATGGGGATTAATTTTCAAGGCTTTTTTTCAGAACCATAGCCAAGAATCGTATGCGCCTTGGAGAATAATCATCTTGCTCAGTTTTTTTTTTTTTTTCTTCTTTACTTGAATTTTTATTATTACATGGATGTTTATAATTAAGACAAATTGCACGTCTAAAGGGTTTGTATAATTGAAGAATGGCATCTTGTTCTGGAATATGGGAAGCATATTCTTATCTATGACATGGATTTGATGAGCTCAACCTTGTGCAAACATTCGGAAATGGATCCTCTAAAGATATTGCCTTTTTGGGCAATGGTCAAAATACCCTAACTAATGTGCCAAGAATGGTGAGTAGAGGGTAAACTAAAATACAAGCATATAATTTCAGTGTCCTAATCTCAACCGTGTAACATATCTAAAGTTTTAAAAAACGTATAATATATCAAGAGTGGTGAGTACATGATAAACTGAAATGGAATGGACATGTTATATACACTCGCAAAATTTCTCCAAACAAAAACCTACCAATACATCGACTAAAGTATCGCAATTAGTCCTATCTTAGTCGGCCAGCGACCAGTGCCAAACTTTTAAATTAACACCAATTAATTAGAGATAAAAAGGCAAATGTTTTAGTCGATTAAAAGAAATTAACTGTACTCTCATGAAAAGGTAAATAATAATTAAATCCTAATAGCACTGACTATATTTTCATGATGCTTATGATATTTTTTTTATTATTTTGGTAAACTTCATGATACTTATGATTGATCCACGGGGAGTGCACCTATTGTATGGTCAATATCTAGATCATAGGTTATGTGGGGTCAAATATATTGATGAGATGGAGAAAATTTTCAGTGTGTCCGACAACATGGTGCAGGATATAATTGGAGAAAAGTTTTTTATTTTTTTCAAATATCTTTCTAATTGTACAATGACATATGTAATACCACTTCATATTTCAGACACCTTAAAAAATCTCTCAATGGGTTGGGTCACTCTGCAAGGAAAGCACCCATACATGGCATCCGAATCAGATCATCATTTCCATGGCTTTTCATTGGCTCTGTTTTATATACCTAACGGCTTAGGTTTCATGCGTAACTTTATTTTCTCATCCTTTTAACTGAAATTACACGTTGAAATATATGTCTCTTAATTTTAAACAATTGTACCTAATAGGTTCAAAGTTCTCGTATAAAGTTGTTATATATAATGTAACACGACCCTTAATAAGGGGATGTTGGTGTGCTGTAGTTGGAATTAGACGCATCATCTCTATTACTGACAATTGATACGCTATTGATATAATGTCGATATATTATCTTATAACATGGTCAATATAAATCACACAGTTCATCAACTACACATTTCTTTCTCTATAATACAACTTTTTTTTAAGTACAATGATATATTTATACTAAGGGGAGGGAGAAGTTCGGCTAAGTAACACAATACGTAATCTAATTTGGTATCGAATTCATCATCCAAGAGATTTGAACCTAAGGCCTCTCACTTACAAGTGAAGATGAATATCACTAGACCGTAGTACTGAGTGACATCTATAATTCAACTTAAAACCAAAGATCTGAATTAATTTTGTCAACTAAAGAAACTCTCTCAAATTTGGGACTCTATATGAACTCTCTGTCGTTTCATATTTTTACCACAATATTTTGTAATGTTGACGCATGAATTAATTTTAAATTGTGAAGTGACAAAAATTTTACAAAAAGTATCACTATGAGAGTTTACTATATATGTTGGTTTCTGCGTAAGGGCATATATATTATGCATGGAACACTAAGGTACCGTTTGGTATGCAGACGGGACAGGACGGAACAAGACGAAACAGATGATGTAAATATTGAAAAAGATAAGGAGAAATTTTGTCATAAAATGTTATAAATTTGTGTTTCAAGGATGTGGAACGGATCGTTCCAGGGGGAAAATGTGGAACGAAAAATCAGCCAAATTTCGTCCTATGGGACAACCCGTTCCACAGTTTTTAGGCGCAACAAATATGAGACAGAACGGCTTGTCCTATTCTGTTCCGTCTTGTCTCACGTACCAAACGGTACCTAAGAGGAGAGAGCCACGTGCGTGTGTACGGAATGTCAAGAAAATGAAAGGGGCATCTTTTCTTACTAACGCTGTCAATTTTCCACAATTATAATGCTGATGTTGCAATCCATGTCAGAGAAGAAAAAACGACAAAAATTATAGCTAGGGCAACGGCTGCGGATCTTTATTTTATTTTATTTTGGGTGGTGCCATCACCTATTTTTACTGCATACAATATTCTCTCGATTACCAAATTGAATAAATTGAAAAAAATTAAGATGCATAAATTAATAAAGTTGTGTAAGAAATAAAAATAGTATGTGAATAGTAGTACTCTTTATTATTTTTAGTTTTGGTGGGAGGATCGGATCGTGTTGACAAGTTGGAATGGATTTAGAACAAAGGAATATAATTATATCATCACATCTGGAACCTCTTAACTTATTACACCACCATAGAAATTCGACATTTATCATTTATCGAATGTATCAATAATATGCCAGTGTGTTTAATTGCTCATATCTTGTTTAAAAATGATATGAACAATGGTTTCATTTAATATAAACTCATTTTATCATATGTAAATTGTGTTTCAAAACCCCCAAGAGCCTCAAAGACCTAATTTATTACATAATACGGGTACTGACATGTCACATTTAGAATACAAGGTCTTCCTCCGTCCTAAATGCCAACAAGTATCTGCTGGCAAAATGGGTTCATATAGTTCATATACTTTGTTTATTTTATATTTTACAAACGAAAGTTTGATTGCTTAATGAAAAGCAAGAAAAATAATTGAAGCTTTAGTTATCTTCAATTAGTGGAAATCAGGCTGGTCTAATTGGAGCTAACATTGGTGTGCTTATAAATATTTTAGTCAATAAGCTTCCCCTTTCACAAATAACCAAGTAGGTCTTGGCTTACTTATGGGGCGCTGCAGCTTCCAACTTTCAAAGTGTCTAAACTGCCCTTTGATCATATGCATACTAGTTGTGAAACGAGGGGTAATGGTGGTGATTAAGGAGACATATATTAATATTTTCACTAAGAAAAAGATAACAACTTTGCTAATCATCCTCTTTAGTGCCATTATTTATTTCTCCCTATATCTTGAATTGGATTTGATCCCCTCTCCATATCCCGCCCTTTCAAAATCTTCAGGAGCACAAGTTGGCCGAGATAGTCGTAGCATCCGGTGGCGATTCGGTTTACTTTCCGGTGAAGCTGGTTACTATACCCTTTCAAGTGGAGGAAGCATAGGATGATGGTACAAGTGCAAAGGATATTTTAGAATGTGCTCTTAGAGAAATTGGTACGAGCACATCAATCAAAAATTCCTTTTTTCCCAACCCCCATAAATATGTCACAAAGGGCTTCGTTAGAACACTCACAAGGAGAACTAGAGCCTCTTCATCATCCTTCTCTCTCAGAACTAGAAACTCTACGAGAAAAAATGGTGAAGTTCTCCAAGCAATTTGAAGGGCAGCTCGTCCCTGAATGGAAGGATGCATTCGTCGATTACTGGCAGCTTAAGAAGGACCTCAAAAAAATCCATCTCCTCAACTCTAACAACAACAAAAACTCACCTACTAGGCACCAAAGTAGCCCCTCTTTATCCAACACCCTCTTCACTTCTATAAGGAAGTTCTCTCCATTTGGCCATCCACATAGAGAACATGACCTCATACATGTACACATTCTCTCTTCCGAACCCTATTATTATGATCGTTTTGCAGTTAAATTTTGAAACGCGTGGTTTAATTTGTGGTCTTACAATTATGTACCAGGTTCACAAGAAGCTTGCCTCATCCGCAAGCAAGGAAGACATGTATGAGACTGAATTGTTAGAACAATTCGCCGATACTGATGCTGCGAAAGAGTTTTTCGCATGCCTCGACCTTCAGCTGAACAAGGTGAATCAGTTTTTCAAAACAAAGGAGAAAGAGTTCGTGGAGAGAGGGGAGTCCTTGAGGAAACAAATGGATATACTCATTGAGCTCAAAACCGCCTTCAAGAAACAGCGCGGTAAAGGAGCTTTTGCACTGAACTCCAAGGAGGATATCTCCATGTCATGCTCCTTCTCGTCTGGTAATTTCGTCTTAAATTTCAAACGAACTGAGCAAAAATCTGCATATGCTTACACGCATGCATAATACATGTTTTAGTCGTACTTTTTGGCATATTTCCCATTTAAATTATTTCTCTTAAATTCTTAATGTTTACCTTTTGATTAACAACTGTCGTCCATAAGATTTGAACTCTGGGTGATGATGAACACCAAATACTATGTGCTCCATTTATATTTTTTGTAGTTTGCTATCTATTTCACGAAATGGTCCTAACACATGCAAATTTAGTGTCATTTTTTACGTAGCTGTTGGAACCGAAAATCGATGATATGTAGTTCGTTTCTGATGGCCCTGTTTCTTGGATACAGATGAGGACTCTGTTAAGGGCAAAACAGAGCAAGAACAGCCGCAAGACAGCACAGATGACTTGGAGAAAAATGAAGCGGCATACTCGGAAGGAGGCGAATTGGGAAAATCAATGAGAACGAAAAGTGAAGATATTGGGAAGCTAAGGAGCATGTCAAGTCGTTCTTTCAGCTTCCAAGGGAAGAACTTGAAGATAAACATTCCTCTAACAAATCCATCGCGTACTTTCTCAGCGATCAGTTACGTAGTTTGGGAAGACCTGGTGAATCAGTCCTCGAGGAAATGCGGTGCAGACGGAGGTAAGCTGCACATCAACAAAACCAAGTTGCATCATGCGGACAAGATGATCCGAGGCGCTTTCGTTGAGCTCTATAAGGGGCTGGGATATCTGAAAACTTACAGGTACGATCATCGGAATTTTTTGAAGTTCAACAAATAAGGTTTTGAAGTTATTACGCGATCGAATTTGATGAGTCAGGGAAGCTTACGTGCTGTCCATTTTTCAGGAACTTGAACATGCTTGCTTTTATAAAGATTTTAAAGAAGTTTGACAAAGTAAGTAAATGCATGCCTCTTAACTTCATCTTTTAAACTTGCATTTTGGTTTTTGCTTATGTAATAAAAGTTGAAATCTTCTTTTCTTTTGCAGGTCACTGGAAAACAAGTGCTTCCAATTTACCTAAAAGTTGTGGAGAGTTCCTACTTCAACAGCTCCGATAAGGTACCTGGCAAACCCTACTTTTTTCGAATTTTCGACCACAAAGTAAATCTCGATTTCGATTATGCTAGCTATGTTTTAGAACATTTTTGCATGATTTTTTTATTGGATCATATTCAAATGTTGGCCACCAGCTATCAATTCGTCCAAATATTTTCTCGACAATTTCAAGTGGCCATTGATCCTGTAGTTTATGACTGCACAGTGGATGCCATTAGATTCATAAAAATTGAACCAAGATATGCTTGTCTGACGCGTAAACTGGAAAAAGTTTACTTTGCAAGTCAATAGTATTTTTGCTTATTACTTTCGAAAATGATAGGTGATGAACTTAGGAGATGAAGTTGAGGAGCTTTTCATCAAACACTTTGCCGAAGAAGACCGACGAAAGGCCATGAAATACCTTAAACCGACGCAGCGCAAAGAATCACACTCCATAACGTTCTTCATTGGTAAGTACAGAACTTTCGTGAAAACTGATCACAACGTACTTTATTGTAAAGGAAAACTAATGAAAATGGTTTGAAAACTTTGAGTTTTAACGATAAGGACAAAATAAGGGGTGAAGTGAATAGTACCAAGATTGACTTTTTAGTGTAAAAATGTGGTTTTTCTGAACAGTACCGGGAACTTTTCGTTAAAGTTCCTTTATTTTAATAATAAAAGTTAAAAGTACCTAAGTGGTTTTCCTTTACACAACTTTTGTTGAGGAGCTTAAAGTCTGTTCATTTTGTGGCCATACAAAATTTAAGAAACCAAAGTGTACAGACCCATTAGGCCACTAGGGTTTTGGAAACATGGCTGTGCCTTGTCGACTTTTTCTTGGGTGGGGAATTGGGCATAGGTCCCATGCTATTGCCATTGTTATTTTTTAAACAATTTTTTGTTGTACAAAGGTAGAACCCTAACAAGGGCCATCGACACCTAGGGGGCAGCAAGATTTTTTAACATAAAAGATATGTCGCGTTACATAGTAAACCTCTCTGCTCATACATGATATGTAAAATTGATAAATATGTAACGCATTGGACTGCAATGACTAAGTACTCAAGTGGCTTATCTTCTTATTGATTGTGATTACTAGGTTTATTCACGGGATGCTTTATTGCGCTCTTAACCGGATACGTCGTTATGGCTCATATCACGGGATTGTACAGACGGCAGCCAAAATCGGTCTATATGGAAACTGCCTACCCTGTACTTAGGTAAGTATTGCTGCAAATAATGTGAACTAGTCTTAAAAATGTTGGGTGTAAACAAGGAGGAGAGGCAAAAGAAATAAACTTTTTCTGTTTTGTTTTTGCAGCATGTTCAGCCTACTGTTTCTACACTTCTTCTTGTACGGTTGCAACATTTTCGCGTGGAGAAAGGCGCGTATAAATTACAGTTTCATCTTCGAATTGTCCCAGACGAAGGAGCTAAAGTATCGAGATGTGTTCTTGATCTGCACCATGTCGTTGACTACTGTGGTGGGAGTCATGTGTGTTCATTTGTTACTGCTAACAAAAGGCTACTCATATGCCCAAGTTCAAGCAATCCCTGGCCTTCTTTTACTGGTATTTCTTCAACTCATAACACGATAGATTAGAAATTGAATATCCAGTAATTAGTCATTGGGTATTTCTTAACGTTCTTGTAAACACGCAGACGTTTCTCCTGTTACTTGTATGCCCCTTCAACATCATTTACCAATCAAGCCGCTTCCGCCTTCTTCGTGTGATAAGAAATATCATTCTGTCACCTCTGTACAAGGTACTGCATCTCTCGAACATGATGAAAACAAAACATTTTCGATAATAGCTAAAACCATATTCGACCAATTAAATTAGCTTCTAATTAGTTTCCGTCTGCTGTCTGCAGGTCGTCATGCTGGACTTCTTCATGGCAGATCAACTTTGTAGTCAGGTATCATTGAGCACTAAACCGAATAAATTCGAAAGAAAATTGATTCTAGTTCCTCAAAAAAAAAAAAAAAAACTCTTCTGATTTGTCATTACAATATACTTATTCGTATTCAATAGGTACCGATGCTTAGGAATCTCGAGTATGTGGCATGTTACTACATAACTGGAAGCTACAAAACTCAGGACTATGGCTACTGCATGAGGGCAGGGCACTACCTAGATCTTGCTTATGCCGTGTCCTTCCTACCCTATTACTGGAGAGCAATGCAGGTATACTAATTAGTTCTTTTTCTCTCTGGTTTAACCTTTACTGTCATTTTTCCTTTGATGAACTAAAACATATACATCTGACTCAGATTTTCGATTAATTGGATTTTCAGTGCGCTCGGCGGTGGTTTGATGAGGGTCAGACAAGCCACCTGGTGAATCTAGGCAAATATGTGTCAGCAATGTTAGCAGCCGGAGCTAAAGTAGCTTATGAGAAAGAACGGAGCATCGGATGGCTCTGTCTTGTTGTGATCATGTCGACTTTTGCAACAGTTTACCAATTGTATTGGGACTTTGTAAAGGATTGGGGTTTGCTACAAATGAATTCCAAGAATCCTTTGCTTAGGAACGAATTAATGATTCGCCGAAAGTTCATATACTACATCTCAATGGTAATTGTCATGTCCCCCTCAAATAAATCACAAATTTGAAGAACGAGATGTTTCTTGTGTGGCAAGCAACCGAGAATGAACATATTCTTGAAATAAAAATCTGATAAATGTCATGATAAAAAGAAGATTCCCAGTCTAGTTCAGAGAGGACAACATGACAGGAAAGAATTAGATGTTGTTTGAGAAGATGCACGCACATCATCGAAACAATTTTTGTGTTCTCTTTCTAGGTTGTAAAATCTGTCGGGTTTCAAATCCGGTGTTTGACGAATGTTTTGGATGCTATATCTGCAGGGATTGAACCTTTTTCTCAGGCTAGCTTGGTTGCAAACTGTTCTCCATTCAAGTTTTGGACATGTGGACTACCGAGTAACCGGGCTGTTTTTAGCTGCTCTTGAAGTCATCAGAAGAGGGTTGTGGAATTTTTTCAGGTAAACTAAAATCCCCAAACTCCCATGATTCTGATTCTTATCAGTCCACATCTGCAGCCATATGCAGAAATTGACATGAAACTGAAATATAAACATATTCTTCGATTTCAATAGATCTAACGCACGATTTGTTCGAATGGTACAGGTTGGAGAATGAGCATCTAAATAATGCAGGCAAGTTTAGAGCAGTTAAGACTGTACCACTGCCTTTTCATGAAGTGGATGAACAAGACTGATGCCCCATTGGCAACAGTTGCAGATAGAATTCGATGTTTAGGCGTTTTCGGAACAAATGTTTCCAAGAGGAAGAACCTTGTTGTTGAGAGCTCGTTCCAAAGTTGATGTAACAAGACACATCAACTTTGTCATCTCTTTTTGTTCGATCGGTGGATTTGAGGGGAACATTTGTTCATACTTACACAAAAAATTTCCTTCATCAATGAAAAGAAAAGGAAATTGATGCAAAGTGCAAATACATGTTGTATATATGCTCAACCTTTCTGTCCTTGTTCCATGGAGCAACAAATACTAAGTAAATAGGGTTTCAATAGTCAAAGTAAATCCTAATGATGTTCTTGTGTCTGCACACTTGTATAAGATACCTAACACATGGAGGTGGGATCGGGGGATGGGTGAGACAAATATAGGGGTCTTTGCGTGGTTTACTAATTTGTGTGTTATGTAAGGCAATCACTCCAAGCGGACTCATTTTAGAAATTTATGCAAATCCAAGTTGATTCATATTATAATTTTTTTTTTAAAAAAAATTGGACCAGCTAATGACTTCATCATTGCAGTCCATCATTCCAGTGGGAGGGGAAAAGACTCACAATGGGTATTTCAGCTTCCTCTGGCCACTATCGTGTAATTTATCATCGTCGAAAATTGAACTCAGAACGTGCCGTATAGAATACGGGTCTGAAATTTGTTCCTAACTACTAGGTCATATTATAATGTATTAACACCCCACATTAAAATTTAATATTAAATGACTTATTTACTCCACTATGTAATGACAATTTTGACCTTATTAGGTTTTTAAAAAAAATAAAGATTTATAAATACATCTCAAATCACTTTTAGCGTATTATTTATCTTCTCAACTATCAAACATGTTGATTAAGAAAAATTGTTTTTGACGAATGGAACACTAAATTGATGTTTCAGGAGCTTCCCATGAGGTAAGACTTCATAATTTTCATTATTTTAGTGATTTCGATGACATCGATAATTATTTAATCTTGCGTTTGCTGCATTATTTAAACTTCTATATTCATATTCATCTTTTAGTGTTCATATGGTTAGATTCAATTCCTGAAATTTAAAAATGAGTGTTATAAGATTTGAGAAATGTGGGGTGTAAAGAAAATGTGGGATACATGTACAAAATATAAGATGTATATTAAGAATGTGGGGTGTGGGGGTATTATGGGAAAGTAAGTAGGGTGTATTAAGATAATTTTTAAGTAAAAAAGTAAATGTGGAGTGTATTAAGTTTGTGGGGTTTATTCAACAATATGTGGGATATTAATATAATTAGCCATTATAATTTGGGTTTTTGGGATTTGGAGGTTTAAAGGACCGTTGGTTGCCCAACTCAACCTTTTCCATAGAACACGTGGCAAAACCAATTGATTTGCCCAAAAGATTCGGTGCCCAAACTAAGAGCGTGTATTCAATTGAGATTTTGAAAGATTTTAATTCTTTTAATGAATTTAGGGTATTTAATTAGGATTTCAAGTGATTCTCTGAAATTCAAGGTGTATTCAATTAGAATTTTAAGATAGTTTATTAAAATCCTTATAAATTCGAATGTATTTAATTATGATTTTTAGAAGTTTATAACATTTCAGGTATATTCAATTAGAAATTGATTTTAAAGAATTTGAGAAAGTTAAGGAATTAGAGGGAATTTAAAAGATTTAGTAATGTATTTTAAGCATCCACAAATCTCACATCTCCCTATGAGATTTCGAGAGAATTGAATCAAAATTTTATATGAAATCCCTGCAAATCAATTAAACTCTATAAAAAATGATTTATAAATTCATTAAAGTTTATCGAATTCCAATACACCCCCCCCCCCGAAATACATCCTTGCAAAACAGGGAAATTTTCAGAGTCTACAGAGCTACATCCATGGCGGCGACACCAACCGCCAGCGGTTTCTCCCCCGCCGTTCCATCCCTCTCGCTTCCCATAACTAACCCTAATAAACCCATTTGGTTTTTCAGACCCTTTTCTGCTTCGAAGAAAATTCCTACCGTCGGCCTCTCCTGGTCCTCCAACCGCGGACGAAACCCTGTGTGGTGAATTTACTCTTCTGGGCTTCTTTCAATTTCTCTTTTTTCATCGTCTACATATATTTTTATGCTAAAGTTTAAATCTTTAATTTCAGCTCAAGAATTTCCCATGCGGCAGGTGTAGCACTAAAGCGTGGCCATGTGGTGCTGGCTGTTTCTGGGTTGATGAGTAGCATTTCTGAGACGAACGCAGAATTGGAACCGAATAATCTGAATACGGTACAATATTGATTCTATTCTTCTTGAATTTTATAGAATTATTGTCTTTTACGTATCGATATTGCTCGTAGTCATTTAATTTTAAGGAAACTAAACTTCTCTTTTAACGAAAATTCATTTTTAAAAGGTATAGTAAATAGTAACAGTTAAAGGTAAAAATGTGATTTTTCGTTAAAAGGGAACAGAACCGGGAATGTTTTGTTAAAACTCTCATTACCGAACAGAAAAAGGTAGTGCCCTTAGTTTAAACTTAAGATTTTTTTTCCAATTTTTTGATGCCAATGTCACATGTTAATATCATTCCAATGTGTGTGTGTTTTGCTATTGCTTGAATTTGTTTACTTTCTTCTTAACTCGGTTTCCTGGATGCCTTATCGAATTTTCGAAGGATGCCACGATTGATATACAACTTCCAAGAAGAAGCTTGCTTGTGAAATTTACTTGTAACTTGTGTGGTGAAAGGACAAATAGACTCGTCAATCGATTGGCTTATGAGCGGGGGCTAATTTACGTACAGGTACTTGTTCCTCTTGTTGGTATTAGATTCTGTGTAGTTTGTTCTTGATTATGAAATAAACTTTAAACTGTTTTTCTGTCAATTTGTTGATATTTCGGTGCATGCCAATACAAGTCAAACCAAAAAGGAAAAATAATCATAGATTAATTAAGGATTAAGCGTTTCAACATCGTTTCTAGTTCGCTTAGTCTAAAAAGTAAGTAACAAGTTTTGGGTTCATCTGACTAATTAGAGTTACTTCTCATCAGTGTGCAGGGTGTCAAAAGTATCACAAGTTAGCTGATAATCTTGGCCTTGTGGTTGAGTATGACTTAAGGGAGGATATCGATTTGGACACAAATACGGATGAAGTTTGATCCGACATTGATTTCATTATGCTACTTTTGAGTAGTCTTTTGGATAAATTAATTCTCGGCGGTTGTTGGAATTCATCTCCCTTGATATATTGAACACGAAGTAAACAAAAAAGTAGTAAATTTCGATGTCTCGTCTGTTGTATTATTGATGCTTGGATCTAGGGTTATACATATGAAAAAAAATATTATCTTCTTGCGATAGTCTCTTAAAAAATCTTCGGCTGATGTACCAATAAATTCATAGTTCAACGTCTAAGATTGATAAGAACTTTAGCTTGTCATTGCCAGCAGTATAGTGATTGCTAATCCGGATGTAACCCACAATCCTGATATCCCTCCTTTCTGGTGCAGTGCATATCCTCCATTCTGTGAGACAAACAAGCAGAAAGGTCATCGGAAAAAAATTAAAGCTGCCAAGTAATATTAATAAAATTTGAGTTCAGTCACGCATATATGGTGTTCTATGGCACCAAGAGTAAGAGCTGGTTAAATTCTTTACCAAATCCAAACTTGGTGATGGTGCGGGTGTTGTGTCGTCCTCTGTATCTGTTACTGTAGGTGGTGCCGGGGGGCTTTGTACAGTAGGTGCAGGTGCTGGTGCATTATGATGATGATGCTTGTGCTTGTGCTTCCTCTTGTGTTTGGGTGGAGCAGGCGCAGGTGACGGTGCTTGCACTGGTTCTGAAGCTGGTGGCACAATAACCGGTGCTGGCGCTGGTACTGGGGTTGCTTTTGATGGTGAGGGCACTGGTGCCACCTTAGCTGGTGCTGGTGCGGGTGTGGATTTAACTGGAGCTGGGGCTTGAACTGGTGTTGGAGATACATGTGGTGCCGCTACAGGAGGTGGCAATGCTGGTGACGAAACAGGTGGTGATGGCGGCAGTTTTGGTGGCTGTGATGGAGTTGACACAGGTGGACTTTGGGGTAGCAGGGGTGAGACTGTTGGGCTTTTGGATGGTGTTACCTTAGGGGAAGGTGATGCAGGTGTGGTAGTTGGTGGGGTTACTGCATTTACAGGCGGTTGTGTTACTGCAGTTGGTGCAGTAGAAGGTGGTGGGGTTTTAGTCGGCATGGTAGCCGGTGCAGCAGGTGTGGTTGTGGGTGGCGGTGCTTTGGCCAGCAAAGTAGACGGCGCAGCTGCCGGTGTCTGTGCACCGGTAAAGATTACTTGACAGCTGAGAGAACACAAAACGAAAGCCAGCAAAATCGAAGCCATTTTCAAAGACAGATTCCGATGAAAAGAATTGGAGGATGGTCAGTTATATATTAGTTTGTGAGCAGAGAAAAATGCAGGAGCCGGAAGAAACGTTTGGTGAAACAATTGAAGAGGGAGGGGGACGTAGTTTTCAGGTGATTGGAACTTCCCTGCTAATCATTTGGCCAGCAAATGTTGTTAATAAACTTGGGAGCCTGGCAGCGACTTGGACTGAAAATAAAGTCCGAGAAACTGACAAGCAAACTATTAATTACGGTTATCTAATTGCTACACACAAGTCTCGTGGCACAACGCCCGCGACAATTAGAAGAAACGTCTGTTTTTTTATCGTAACAGCAAAGCTCAACTCTGGTAGGAGGTATACATCACTTCTTTTTGAAAGCAAGGTCCTCAATCCTCTATTCAACGCCCTTCGTAGCACGGGATGTTGCGGTAGCAGTATCCGTGTCATGTTAGCTGCTCTCCTTATTAAGCATAAATGACCGTTTGTCACTAAGCCAATTCAATTTTTGTTGTTGGAAGAGATTCGCACTCTTAAGATGAAACAAGGGATGGCAAAACAAGGATGAATCATAATCAAACGTGAATATCAAGAATAAAAGCTACACCTTAGAAAAGATACGTTGCCTAGAACATTGCCACGTATATGCGGCTCCATGTCAATGTTACGTTTCTGTAAGTACTTTTAGCTCGTGCGTGCTTTTGTTGGGGACACATTACTAATTATATTGAAAGTTAAGTGCTTTTCGGAAACACAAGTCTTTCAATGGTGCTTCTCCAAAAAGTACTTAAAAGTGCTTTTATAATTCCTACACGCTTAAGCTTTTTTTTGACAGCATGCATGATGATCATTAGTGAAATCATTAAGCTAGGCAAGACTTTCGGACTACAACAAGGGAAGGAGGGAGAGAGAACTACATATTATCTACGGTACGGACAATTTTCAACACAGATTTGTACAATCATCAAACTATAGTCTTTGTGCTAACCCCTCACAAACAGAACATTATGTGGAAGATGTCATGCATCTTTGTAAGCAACTTTGATGGATGGTGAGAAACTGGAAGAGGGCGTGAGGTCGCTGCTGCTGCCGGGTCGGCGTTCTTTTCCTTCTTCTTTCTCCTCAGCTGGAAGAATTGCTGCATTATATCTGCACAATCCGATGCCAACACACCACGTCGGATGGTCATGTTTGGGTGGAATGGGTGGACAGGAGGAGCTGGTTTGTCCGAGTGCTCCGAGCTATTTCCTTCACCCCCTTCAGGGAAAAGTCTGCAAGCATATTTACAGGTTGACCGGATAAGGTACTACGGAACGAAGAACAAAGACTGGATATCATATCTAGTATAAAAACAGGCTATGGGTTATGAAGAAGAACATAATTCACGTCTATGAAGAAGAACACAATTCGCATACCTTATCCAGCTGCCATCAGCTCCGAGAAGCTTATTTGGAGCTCCCCATACAACAGTGTCGACTCTTGCTTGGAGTATCGCTCCAGCACACATAGGGCACGGTTCAAGTGTTACATACAGAGTGGTTTCCTGTGACATCAGAAAACAAAAATCTAAGTCTAAGGTGGAACAAAATCATCAATATGCATGTATATATATTGGAATAAAACTTGGAATGGGTAGTAATAACTAAATAATAGAGAATTACCGAAAGCCTCCATGACCGGAGAACGTTAGAAGCCTCCCGTATGCATATCATTTCTGCATGGGCTGTTGAATCCCGTAATTCTTCCACTCTGATACACATATAAATGTAAATATCCAGAAGAAAGCATTTACTACAAAACATACTTATAAGCTAATAGAACTCACAGATTACATCCACGTGCAATAATCTTTCCTTGTTGTACCAGTACAGCCCCGACAGGTACCTCCCAAATATCAGCAGCCTTCTTAGCTTCGAGAAGTGCTTCTCTCATAAACATTTCATCCATTTTTCTTTGTTCAATTTCAAGTGTATGTGCTTCTGCCCATTCGTCAAATCTGTCTCTGAGGACTTGCTTATTCCTCTGAAACCTCCTTTGTTTCAATTCCCCACCCATTTGCACATTGTCTGATACTCCTTCAGTCAACTTCTGACTGCCAAATTGGTCTATGCGCTCCACTGAACCACTTCCAGAGACAATGTTACCGGCATTTGAAATTTCTTCTACAACAGCAGACTTTACGCCACTAGCAATTAGTGGTTGAGATGACTCCACTTTTTCAATGCCAGAAGAACCTCGAAAACTCTTTTGATTCTCGTTTGAACCTAATATTCCCTCACTAGAAGACGCGGAAATGACTTTTGATGGCAACCCACTTTCTTCTTTATTAGGAGAAGACGGCGTGCCTGCTTCAAGAAGTCTTACTTTGTCCCTTGATCTCAGTTTTCCACTTTGAGGAAATGATTTAGGCGGTTGCAGCTGATGTTCCATGTCTTTATCCCTTTTTGCGTTCTTTTCATTGTTGTCCTCGGTCTCATGGCCAGAAAACCATGCCTCACTACTTGCAGATTCATTTGATGAAGTCCTTCCACCCGACTTCACAGCAGAATGAGGGGTCTCAGCGTGCGAAGTCCACCTCAGCCTAAAAATATCTGCAACAATGTTCCATACAGACCTGCCCGTTCTCTTGACAACGGTAATCCCACTTGTTGTGGTAGCCTCTGATTTTTCTGCCTTGGGGGTTTTAAGAACAGACGTGTCTGGTACATCCCACATTTCATCAGCAGGCCCTTTGGTTCCAGAACCTCCAGATGAACGCCTTGAATCGTTTCCCTTTTTCTGAGAGTCTTCAGACCTATTTTGACTCGAATCCACTTGCCCATTCTTCTCACCTCCATGTGCCAATTTTACTTCAGAAACTGTATTTGCATCCTGATTTTCGGAAGTTAAGACTTCATGTCTTGCTCTATCAAAGAACTCCCCAACAAACAGTGAAGATGACTTCTCCAAACGGTAAGCTGAATCCAAAGCATCTTCCGGATTAACAAGGTATAAAATCTCCCCTTCAGTCCGAGTGTTTCCATTTCCACTACTTGATTCTTGGAGCGAAGCCGAAGTACTTTGCCTATACTCCTCACCCCCATATACTAATTTTGCTTCAGAAACTGCATTCTCGTTCTGGTTTTCAGAAGTTGAGACTTCATGCCTTACTTTCTGAACAAAATCCGCAACAAACTGTGAAGATGATTTCTCCAAACGATAAGTTGAACCCAAAGCATCTTCAGGAATGAGGTATAAAATCTCCCCTTGAGTCTCGGAGTTTCCACTTCCACTGGATGATTCTCGGTGCAAAGCAGAAGTTTGGTTTCCCAAGTGAGTACGCAAGGCAGGCGAACCACCATCTGGAATTTCTTCAGAAATTTCCTGAGTTGCCATCCCACTTGATGACTCCATGCGCAGTGATCCTCTAGCTATCAATTGAGAAGGGGGAGGCAGCAGCATTGCCCGTGGGCTTATCTTATGCCCCTCAACATTATGCGGTTGCATTTTAGCTTGGGAAACCACATCCAAAGATGATTGGAAACTAGAGGCTTCTCCCAAGCCACTTTGGGCCTCTTTTCTGAGTTTAACTTGCATGCGGTTTTCATCAGTTTCATTATTTCTACTCCTTGTTTCCTCCATTGATGAAACAGCTGATCTAATACCACTTTCTTGATTTACAGTTCTCTTCCTTGAGATTCTTTGAGAATTGGTAGTGCTATCTGAAGTAGGAACCAAGTTTGACTGCTGTACCTGGTTTGTAATTCCAGTTTCAGGTTGGACAATATTGGCCCCTTCAATACCACTGTCACAAATTTCTGATACTTCAGTGATTTGTGGGGACTTTCTTCCCAAGTTGACGAGGCCAATGACCTGCTGACCTATTTTGTGGCGTTGCACGTCTGTCTCATTTGCTGAACTCGGCAATAAATTTGTGTTTTCTTCCTGGTAAATCCTTCTTATATCAGTCTCCCTCCGCCTATCAGAGATCCTTTCAACATCAACAACTCGAATTTGCGAAATTTTTGAGGGCTTTTGGTGGTCTCTGTTTAACTCTTCATTTCGACTGGTATACTCAGCTGTGTTGTAACGTTCATCTTGCCTTTCCTGCACCAAGTTTGTAGCTATCGCTAGGTTTTCTTCCCTTTCTCTGAGTCTCTCCTGGGACAAGAAAGTTGTTTCAACATCACTTCCACGGATTTCTGATTCCTTGCGTTCTTGAAATTTTCTTCGAGATTCATTCACGCCAACACCAACAGCTTGGTTCTGTGTTTGACTATATTGTTCTCTTGTTCCCTTAGTCAAATATGAATTCTCTTGCTCATAGTCAAATTGCTTGCGGGATCCAGAGGCCTCTCCGAACTCACTTTGATTGGTCTTCAACACTCTTGAATTCATCTCTGATGATTTCCCACCAGCCTCGGCTTCTTCAGCTACTACTTCTGTAAGCTTCTTTTCTGTCTTCTTCCTCCAATCCCACATGACACCACCCTCAACTGCAGTGTTTCTTTGTTTTGTTATTTCTCCTCTGCGCTCGGAATCATCCATGTACTTCCTGTAATCTTCAATGACCTGCCCACCAAATCTGCCTCCAATATCAAATTTTGAATCCTCGTACACACTTGAAGCTGATTCCCCAGAGAGGCCGTGCTTATCCTGAGCATCTGCCTCACTTCTGAAATCGCCAGAAGATGATAAAGAGTAATAAGAAGAACTAGAACCTCCTCTCATTCCCCTACGATTCTCATCTCTCAAAAACACTCCCCTCTCTTCTTTCTGTCTAAAATCCCCTTCACTCAAATCAACTGTGGCTGATCCAAATTGGTGGTTCAAATTACTCTCCGATGTATTCACCTTAACATTACTTTTCTTCTTCCTACTGTTACACTCACTACTATTGTCTGGTTCGATGTCCACTTGCACTCCCTTAGAAGAACTTCCATTTTTCTCTCTACCACGTACACTCACCCTCTCTACTTCTACTCTCTTAGATGAACAGGCATTTCTCTCTCTACCACTAAAACTCCTCCTACTCTCCTCTTCTACTCTCTTTGATGAACCAGCATTTCTCTCTCGATCAATCAATATCCTCCAACTCCTTTCTTCTGCTCTCTTAGATGAACTCTCATTTCTCTCACTACCAATCAAACTCCTACTCTCCTCTTCTCCTCTCTTTGACGATCTACCACTCAAAATCCTCCTATCCTCCTTCTCCACTCTCTTAACCGAAATCCCATTTCTCTCTCTCAGAAAACACTCCCCACCCAATTCCTCACTCAACAAGCTGAGCATAGCCTCAGCGTCATCGAGACCACCCGAATCATA